ATATATATATATATATATATATATATATATATATATATATAGTTTCATCAATTAAATCCAATCTGAGGACCTCACTCAGAACAGAGCAGAGAGCTGATTTTCCTAAAGTCCTCTCTCCAGTGTAGGTGCCAGAAGCAGTATACTCTGGTTTTTTGAGCCATCCTTGAGGAAGATCTAATAAAGGATTTTCAAGTATAGGTAAGGGGTGTGTGTGTGTGTGTGTGTGTGTGTGTGTGTGTGTGTGTATGTGTGTTTCACTGGGAACCCAGGGCCTCACACATGGTAGACAAGTACTCTACCTCTGAGCTACATTCCCAGCCTGATTTTTAAGAATTGTATACCTCACTTGAGCATCCACATGTGAAGTTAGGTACACCTCCAGGAGGAAAGCTTTCTACAGTATAGTACAGTAATAGGTCATTGGCAACTGGGTAACCATGGGTAAAGCTACAGATGTATCTAAAACCGAAACATGGGTATAAGTAGACCTGATATGGAGCCACATGGTCTCCAGGGTGGTGTGTATAAAATTCTGGTAAGAGCTTTAGAGAGCTTTCTGTGCTTTTTGCCAGGCAGAGAAGCAGCTCCAGACTTCATTAGCACCAGAGGTGTCTGGGAGCTGGCCTGGGTGCTTCCTCTGCTGGGGTGGTGTCCATCTCCACCTCGCCTGCCATGTATGTCTTAGTGCTCCCGTACACCTTTATAACCCTCTTTCCCCCCTTCAGCCTCATGTTCATGCCCTTGCCTTTGCAGAATACCTCGGATTCTGCTACTTCATACACTATCCACACCCCACAGGCAGGATTTCTCTGTACCATTTGTCGCCAGCTCTTTGCTAGTCATGTCTTTATCAGTGGGTGGAGAAGCGTTTGCTTACCCTCAAAAAAAAAAAAAAACACTTAACCACTCCTTTGTCACTGCCGTGTATTTATTGGGCAAACATTTGTTGAGTACTTGCCGTTTGTTGACTGGTGTTACGAGGATGAATAACACATCATCTTTGGATCCAGGGAGTCCCTATTCTGGTGGGGGGAAACTGATTCATAAACAGGCAGCAAGAAAACCTTGTGGTAAGTGTTTTGCTTGGGAAGGAGTAGATCCAGGGTACTGTGGGGACACAGAGCAGCTCCACTGGCTTGAACATTACAGAACAGACCCCATGTGTCAGTCAGCCTTATGAGAGGAGCTGACATTAGCTAAGTAGAAAAGAGAAGAAAAATGGGCTTTTCAGATGCAGTACTGTTGGTGTCCCTGACCAGGAGTAAGGGATTGGCCACTTACTCTGGTTCCATTTAATTTTTGCCAAAAGGTGCAATAAGCAGTTTATAACATTTTCCTTTCGTTATCTTTTCTTCTAGATCTTGTATGTATTTTTAAAAAGTGTGGTCACTGGTGCCACAGGGTACCTAACTGAGTCCACTACATTCTTCCCATGGTTGTAGGATGGCTTCAAATGACTTTAAGAAACCTAAAATTTATCGAGTCAACCACATTGTAACTGAAGAAATGATTAGATGATTGTAGTGACTTAGATCACTGTGGTGGTTGTTGATTTAAACCTTGATGTTGAGGCTGGGGATTTAGCTCAGCGGCACAGCGCCTGCGTGGTAAGCGCGAGGCTGTGAGTTCGATTCCCGATACCAGAAAAAAAAACCTTGATGTTTATCCTTTTCTTATTTATCTAAATAAAGAAGAAACGCACTAAATATGTATGCCCAGACTCTTGAACGTATTTTAGATTACCTTTATCTCATTAGTTTTATCTAAACTGTAATGTAAACTGGCTTGAAACTGGTTATTTTGGGGCATCTTTTTATAACAGGAGGAAATAAATTGGGCATTTATAGGGGAAAGGTGAGTAAATGTTTAAAGTTGTTATTTCTGTTTTTGAAAAGGGCCAGTTTTTACTTGCCTGTTATATTATGCCTTTAAAATATAATAGAAATATTAGATATAGGGATTTTACTTTATAATAAAAAGAAAGCAAGAACATCAATAAAGGAAAACATGTACCACTGATCAGATTTTGCATTCTAGAATATAAATATAAATATAAATAAATATAAATAGTGTGTGTGGTCTGGATAATGAAGTGAACCATTTCCCATTAAAATAAAAGAAGACTATCTCTTTTTAAGGTTATGAGAAGACAGATGATGTTTCAGAGAAGACCTCACTGGCTGACCAGGAGGAAGTAAGGACTATATTTATCAACCAGCCTCAGTTAACAAAATTCTGCAATAACCATGTCAGGTAAGAACAGCCAATGAATGTTATGGAGCAGCCATCACAGCGGAGCGAGACAGGCCAGAATGAAAATGTTTGTAAAGAGATTTTGATTCACTCAGTATTGGTGCTGTGGCAATGCCAGTGGGCTGTTTCTCCATCTATCCAATAAAGAAATGGTAATAAGAATCTGGAAGTAGGAAGGAGCAGAAAGGCCCAGTACCCATAATGCTATTCATGGTATCTGAGTATGAAAGATATTCATAGGGAAATGCCAGTGTTCTAAACCTATGAACAGAATAATGTTTTGGGTTAGTAAGTTTTAACATTATTGGAAAGATCTTTGCAGTTGTACACGAAGAACTTCATTTACTTAATTATTTATTTGGTTAAATAGCCTTAAAATACTGTTTTTTGGTAGTTATGAAACTTAGTGTGGTGTGTAGGGATGGAGGGTTGTGAGAATTACTTCACTGCCCTGTTACATTTTCAGTCCAGCAGTCATATAAAAAACAGCCCCTTAGGCCGGGCAGTGTTGCACATTCCTGGAATCCTAGCACTCAGGAGGCTAAGGCAGGAAGATCACCGTGAGTTCAAGGCCAGCCTGGGCTACGTAGTGAGTTCACGGCCAACCTGGATGACATAGTGAGACATTCTCTCACAAAGAAAGCATCCCTGTCAGCACCAGTCACTCAGTGGCCTCTGGCGCCAGGTGAACACTCCCAATGCTCACCAGTGGCAAATCACTATTTATAACTTCAAATTGTTTACAACTTCAAATTCTTGAGTTATATTTCTTAATTTGGTGAGTGTAGCAAGTCTCCCTTTTAATTTCCCTTATGTTTTATAATCCAGAGGAAGTTCTAGATCTCTCCAAGACAGAAGCGGCCTATCCTTAGTGATAGGGACATAATGTGGCATCCTTGCCGGGTTCCTAAAGTGGCATGAAGGCAATTCAGACGACCCCAGAAAACTTCCCATTTCCCTGAAATTATCCAGAAGGACATCTCTATTTATAGTGTCTGGCCCTGTTCTAATTGCTAATTATTTAGTATTATTGTGTTAACACTCTGTTTTCTCTACATTTGCACTTCTTTTTAAGCTACTCCTGGTAATTTTAAGGAGGATGATTGGCTAAAGAAGATAAAAGATAGCATACAGAAAATTCAGTCTTTATTTAACCTTTCGCTCTTTTTCATTTAAATTAATAATTCTTTGTGATATTCCCTGAATGTGTAACAGTGAGCAAATATTCATCATCTTATTTTTTATGTGGTGGTAACAGAATTTTGATTATGTGGATGCCATTCACAAACTAACTGAGTTTTATACTACTTTTCATTTTTGTTTTCTAGCACTGCAAAATACAATATAATCACATTCCTTCCAAGATTTCTCTACTCTCAGTTCAGAAGAGCTGCTAATTCGTTTTTTCTCTTTATTGCACTGCTTCAGGTAAAGTCACATCATAAAGACTCAATTAAAGGGCAAAGGTTCAGGTCTTAATAAATGTTTTTGTTAAGTCCATGATTAATCCTCTGAATCTTAGCTAAATGCCGAGATAACCTTCATTCACTGGGCATCTCCAGCTGCTGCTCCAAGTCGTGTGAGAATTCTACTTCCTCTCCACGCAATTTGATTCATTTCTGTTTTCCAGCTTATTGTAGATATTCTGCACATTTGATGTGGAAAGTATTATCCATTTGGAGTGGTAAAGGAGGGTGGCACTTTTTCCTAAAACTTCAGTTCAATTTTGGAGCAGTAAAAGTAAAGTTCTGAAAAAGCACTACTTGACGAATTTTAACAAATATTTTAGAAAAAATATTTTATTAAGAAGTAGCATATGTTCATTGTAAAGTTTTTTTAAAAAAAATGCAGCAGGACATAAAGAAAATAATTAATACTTCTATTATTCTATCACAAGAGCTGTTAAAACTTGGATGTGTGTGTCTCTAGTCTTATTTTCCCCTCTAAGCATTGCTTGTTTACAAAAAGGAATTAGAGTGCATATTGTTTTGTAATTTGCTTTATTCATATGATAATATATGGATATTTTCCTAGTTAATCATTGTACTTTAAGGGTGAGGGGGTGCTTTGTTTTTTTGTTTTATTTTTTGCCTTACTAGGGATTTAATGATTATATGATATTATATAACTGTGCTGTTATTACTTAGCCAGTTCTCCATTGTAGCTGCTAGTCTGGTACATGCTCTGTATGCGTATCATGTTGCTAACACGCTCCTCTGGCTACTTCGTAGATAAGGCAAGTTGCCCCACCCAGAGTTAGTCAGCCAAGATCATGAAATCAATGAGGCATAATTTAGAAGACACTAAGACTTTGTTGTTTCAGATGCACTGAAAGCGTCCGGATTCTCATTGGATTTCTCTTGCTCTTTTGTTTTTTTCTTCAAATAGCAAATACCTGATGTGTCACCAACAGGTCGTTATACGACACTGGTTCCTCTCTTATTTATTTTAGCTGTGGCCGCAATCAAAGAGATAATAGAAGATATTGTAAGTATTTACGTTTTTCCATCAGTATGACTAATACATATTTTTCTAAAATATTAGTTGATTTAATTTATGGCACAGGCTGTTTTGAATGTTCATTCAACTTTAAAGTATATAGAATATGTTTCTACTACTTAGGTTAATTCTTACTAGATTGATATGTTCCTATTCCTTAAGTTAATTCCTAGTCCTTACTAGCCTTCCCTTATGTTTATAGTGTAATAATAAAAGCAATTTGAGTGAAAGAATTGACATGAATAGAACACTGTATTAGAATGTTATTTTCAATTAGGTAACATAAATTATCTAACAAACTTTTTGGCATTTTTTATTTTTAAATATAAATGCCATCGTTTTCACCATATTAAATACCTTTGATTCACTCTCATCTTATTTCAGTAGTTGTGTTTCCTTTCCATGTATCTTATTTTAATACTATGAGAAACCTCATATTTACCATTTTTAGTATTCTGTAGTAAAAGAGAAAACGAGAAGAGAATTTCCCTTTTCTGAAATAGTCCCCCTCACCTGTTTTCTTTTCCCCCTATACTTTACCTATTTTAACTGTTTTACTTGAGGAAGACAATTTTTTGGTGGGGTATTTTTTCTCCATTCTTTTAAAATTCTTTCTTGCCCATTCAAAAAAATCTGTTAAGCATTAGGACAATCAAATGGCAAGGCAAGGAAAGGCTGGGAAAGTATTTGGAAAGGTCCAATTTTAAATTTCACAAACATTAAAATTATTTGTGTAACATTATTTCCTTGACATTTATTAAGAGAAGACAGGAGCCATACTATCACTAGGCCCATTAGAACATTGGCAGTTGAACGTTCAGATGAGCAGTCTCCCAATCATCTAGGTGTAAATACACAGGCCGAGAGTGTGGTGCCTGTGTGTAGGGCATCATTATCCTCTTGTATGGAAACAACATCCTTTATAAGCACAAGGAGCTAGGAAATTTAAGAGACTGTCTTTTCATCTGTACTGTACCATGCAGATTTTCCAGCCTTTAAGTTATTGGTTGGGTTGGGCTGTCTGTAGGGGTTGGTCTTCCTACAATTTTGTCTTTCTTTGCTTTCTATGCTTCCATTTCTGTCTTTGTTTAACCTAATTTTTATGGAGTATTTGTTATTCACTAGGCATTAGGCTGTTGTTTTTGCTGAAATTTTTCTCGCTTAATTCCCTCAATAACTTTGAAAGCTGTATGTTAAACTCCATTGAAAGGTAAGTAAGCTGGAGCTTAGGAGAGATGTTATTGTCCAAGAAAGTGATGTACATACTTTGCTCTCCACCTACGCAGAGTCATCAGCAGTAACATCAACACTTATTCTGCTTTTTGGTTTCCTGAACTTTGTTCTATGTTACTTAAATTTATTAAATCTTGTAACAACTCAGTAAGGTATTATTGATCCCCATTTAGTAGATGAGGCAGAGAAAGCAGAGGAAAAATGTACCTTGTCTGAGGTCACACAACTGATAATTAGGCTTATTAGATTTCAAGTCAAGGAGTTTAGCTGTAGAACCCTGCTTTATAAGTATGCTTCTAAACTGCCTCTGCTGTGTGTGTGTGTGCGTGTGTGTGCATGTGATTCTGTTTAAAGCTATAAGCACTCTAACTATGGTTTCTAGGACCCCTGTCTTTGAAAATACATAATAAAATTGTATCCAAGAATTTTTTAAAACAACTCCTGTTGCTATGATATAATAATTGGGTACTGTTAGAAAAAAAAAAAAAACATAATCACACAGTCCCTGAAGGATGTAATAATAGTATTATGAGGTAATAATTTCAGGTGAATTTGCTTTCCACTGAAATCAGTGTTAAAATATTGACCAAAAATGATCTGTAAGAGTTGTTTAACAAGTTTATATCAAACTATAAAGTGATAGGAAGTTGGAAATGTTACCCTCTAGAAAAGGAAAAACACAAGTAATAGTGTAGATAGTTGGGCAGAGTTACATATCAGAAAATATAATGAATATATACATTTGTGCAGCTATTCAATAAAAATATATGGAGTAGTGCTTATGTGGCAGGCATTCATTAGGATATATATTAAAATATGTTAACCTTTGGCTATGGTAATAATCGTGTTCCATTTGTCAGCGGCTTACTAGTTAAGTCTTTTTGTCATTTACTCAGAGACTGCAGATCCTGCGGGTTGGCAGCAGGTAGTTGCTCTGTTCCGTGTGGCCCCTCAGGGATGTGACATGAATCAAAGTTCTGCTGTGTGGCATGTCGGTGGTTATTGGAGCAGGGGGGCAAGGGAATGGAGATGTCTTTTCTTATTTATTTTAGTCATAAAAGTTGCCTGTCACATCTGTTTACAGCCCAATATTGGAACTAGTGACATGGAAAATGGAAGGTGTTATCTGAATGTCCCCAGAAATAAAGAACTGAATACTGGTAAAGATTAACCATGTCTGCCCCTTGTCCCTCAGTGAGTAAGACAGACCTTACAGTCTAGTAAACCTTCCTTCATATACTATTAAGGAACATCATTTTTTAAAATTTAGAATAAAAGATAATAAGAGTTGTGAGATAGTTAAGACATACCCAACCAGTGAATTTTGACTCTTGATGCTTTTGATAGCCTAATATAGTACAATCTCTTATTTTTATGCATAAGTAAAAAATGATGTGTATACTTACTTGAACATACTCTAAACTGGTGAACTCTTTTTTTTTTAAATAAAAAAAAAGCTGTATCATATTAAAACCAAATTATTGTGGTGGCACACACCTGTAATCCCAGCACTTGGGAGGTCAAGGCAGGAGGATCATTGAGAGTTCGAGACTAGCCTGGGCTACAAAGTGAGCCTAAGGCCGGTCTGAACTGCATAGCATGACTCTGTCTCAAAAAGACAAAAAAGAAGCAAATTATTATGGTAAAGGTCAAAATTGTCTGTGAAACTGATAGTTGTCAGTAAAAAAATTCCTTCTTTGCTATAAACTTGTTAAATGCTAGTGAACTTTATTCATTATAAAATGAATACTTATCCAAAGGCTACAGTAAGCCAGTGACCAAATACTGGGAATATGCTCATGAGCAAAAATAGCCTTCATGGATCTCACAGTCCATTGGAAGAAATAGACATTAATCAAGTAATCATACTGGGTTGTGATGTGAATTAAATAATGCCCATGAAGTCCTTAAAACAGTACCTAGTGTATACTAAATAATGAATAAATAACAACTATATTGTCATCATTCAAAGACCCTTCTGACTAAATGGCAGAAAATAAATTAGAAGAAAAGTAATTGATATAAAAATGAAAATATAATAGACTGATGTTTAGAAATGGTAAAAAATAGGGACAGGCATTTGATCTATGTCTAACAGTACAGTTGACAGCACTTACCACCTGCTACATACCCCCTTCACTCAGTTCCTGTTTGGTCTCCAGCCACTAGAATATAAACTCCCTGAGAGCAAGAACTTGGGACTCTTGCTCATTGCTGTACTCTCAGGAGTACTAGCAGGGCCTGGTGCATAATGTTTAGTGAACACTTATTGATTGAGTGAGGGGGTTGGATAAGAGGGAAAGGGAGAAGAAGGTGCAAGGACGACTCTCAGATTCTTGGTTTATGAAAATAAATGGAGGCTCCGCCAGCCCCCCCGCACCTTGCGCCCAGGCAGC